CGATCCACGCTGCTGATGCATTTGATCAACGTGGCGTTTCCAGAGTTGATCACCGACTAGCACTTTATACGAGACGGGAACGGTCTGCTCTGCAACAGTGCCATTTAGCCATCGTGGTTTTCCTCGGAAATTTTGAACTAGAACCTGTTCTCCGAGTGCGAATTCTCGTTCCCTGCTAACCTTGTCGTTGACTGTTACCGGTATTCGATATCATATTGATACGCAGCGAGCAGGAGTGCCCATCTTTGTAATCTTGCGGCTGCTAGAGCTGTAATTCCACTTTTTGGTCCCAGTAATGTAGTTAATGGTTTGTGATCCGTGACCAACAGAAACTTCCTCCCATAGAGGTATTGGTGAAATTTCTTCACTCCAAAAACTATGCTAAGCGCTTCCTTCTCGATTTGCGCGTAACTGCGCTCGCTTTTGGTTAATGTGCGCGAAGCGTAAGCAATTGGTCGCTCTTCTCCGGATGGCAATACATGCGAAATAACTGCGCCTATACCGTATTGTGAAGCATCAGCGTCGAGCTTCAATGGCAATGTATTGCTGGAATGTGTTAAAACTGGAGGGTTGGACAGTTTGTCCTTAAGTCGCTTGAACGCTTTTTGCTGAGTCTCACACCATTTCCATTCGACTCCGTCCTTTAATAATTCGTTTAACGGGTGGGTGATGTTCGAATAACTGCTGATAAACTTTGAGTAATAATTGATCATACCCAGAAATCACCTAAGTTGCTGCTGATTCTCGGGTGCCGGCGCATTTCGAATGAGTTCGACCCTTTTCTCGATAGCGTGCAAACCTTGCGCATCTATCCGATAGCCCAGGTATTCAACAGTTGGCTGCATGAATTGGCATTTGCTTAGTTTTAACCTCAAGCCTGTGCTTTCCAACCTAGTTAAAACTTCATCAAGATGATCCAAATGCTTTTGGTCATTTTTCCCCGAAATTACTATGATAATACATGTCAGACAAGAGAGGATAAAGGGGACAGAGAAGGTATCCCCCATATACACCCTATTCCATAGGTAATTCGTCTCGAGTTATTTTTAACACCACAGATCTCAAGGGGGATTAGACAACAGCCAATCACATAGCGCGAATGTGTTCCGCGTGGATGACCCACGCTCAGAGGCACGCGCGCGTCCTTCACGAATTGACGCCGAACAAAATGGCGCAAGACGCGGAGAGCGATATTGCTATTCGTTTTGTCGACGAAAACGACTACAGAGAGATTTCTGCTAAAGCTGTGTCAGCGAAACGGAAACTAAAAAAGAATCGCCCTTCCTATCTTGTATAGAGCTAACAGTACAACAGGGAAATCCTTAACACACTGAATATTCTTTTAGGATCATTTATAATTTATTACAGTTTGAAGAGAAGCTAAGAGAGCAATTTTTGGTTTGATATTTATTCTTTTATTAGTCTTTTATCATTCAACAAAAATAATAATAAGCGTCCTACTTGCTTTATTGTACAAAAGACCGGTTTCAATAGACCGGCGAAATTTCTCATTTTATTAAAGCACTGCGGTTACGACAACTTCGAGGTAAACTGATTTCAGGGTTGACAAAGAGTCCAGCGATTCTTTTTTCCCAGGTGAGCGCCGTCTCATTTCGCGTCAATATTTAGGAATGCTCTCGATCTCTTTATGCTTTCATTGCCTTTCGCCCGACATGTTTCGTACGGCGTTTTGTCATGCGAAACCTCCACGAAACATCCACGCAGCGCGCGAGGTAACTTTATCCCGATTCCAGAAATAACTCGAGACGTATTACCTATGGGATAGGATGTGTATGGAGGATGCCTTCTCTGTCCCCTTTATCCTCTGTTGATGTCAGAGTCCAAATGAATAAATCGTTGTGTCGCTCAAAAAGGGAGGGAGTATTAACTTTAACCGTAGCACTGTTTTTCTTTAAAGCGTACAAATTCAAGGTTAAACTTCACAGTAAGCTAATATGCAAGAACAGTTGAACAACCAAGATTTATTTCCACCGCCACGTAATTTCAATGTGTTGCGAACTCGCGTAGAATTTACGTGCCTTAATAAAAAAGAGGCGACGCTTTTTAATTTACTTTAACCTTTACGTTTACGCGCGACCTTCAATACATTGCAGCTGCCCCAGCAGTGGACCTGTTGAGCCAGACACATCAAGTCTGTGGATGGAGTTGTTTTCTTTAGACTCAGTTATTTTGATTATAGTGACTTGCAATTGTTTGCCATTTTCAGGTTCGAGGTCGATTTTTCGGAGATATATCAAATGACAAGTGCTAAAAATAGCGTTTCGGGGCCCCCAAACTTCAAACTTTTCTGGGGGAGGACACCCCGAGACCCCCCGTACAAGGTTCGTGCCTTCGGCGCTCGCGATAATGCGCCCCCGTTACAAAAACTCTAGTTTCGGCCCTGTTTACGCGTCAGCGGAAACCCACCTTATAGAGGTTTGCTTGGTTACATTGACCGTGAGGTCAGTCTGCGAACGAGAAAAGGAGAAAAGAAAGTGGGGAACTGTACATGCTACTCCCCTTTCTCTCCCCATTAAAACAGGAGAGTGATACCTGCAGAGGAGATCACACAGTACCGGACGAATTTTAATTTACACCGCCTGAAAAATTTGACCGGACACTTTGTTCATACAGGACTTAGTACTGCTAGACGTCTGATTTCTCTGTACGGTTAAGGTAGTTCCGTGTGAACAGAAAACCTTTACGCATAAACTTCAACCGGTCGAAAAATCGTCCGGCGCAGTGCCTTGTGAACATAATTCTACAATTATTTTGGGACTTTAATCATGAGGTTAAACTTAACTCAAACAAATATAGAGGTAATTAATAGACTATTACAGCTGCAACTGCCAGAACTGTTTAGAACATTAACTCAAGCGTAACGTTCACTCTTGCTCTCAAAAGGGTCAGAAACTAAGAAAGGGAACCATTTACCGGGAGCACATACGAAACTTGATTTGAACCGTTTTCACTGAAAGTTTATCCTTATTAATTATGATTCAAAACGTTTATGTTGAATAAAGAAATCCTTGACGTCAGTCCAGGGAATAAATCCGTTGCAAACTTGAGCAAAAAATTTTCAGCTATCTGCTTCCTTCAAGACAGCCAACCAGCTCAGTACTTGTTGGAACGGTAAGCGCTATGTTAGAAGTTGTTTTGAGAAAAGAAAAAAAAACAACAACGATAAACCTTTAAAACAATTCCTCTCCTCGCATGATCGCGAAGTCATCTTCCTAATGGTCACCGCCGCACAGTTAAACCTCGCTGAATTTTGTCTTTCTTTTCAAGCTTAATACATTGATACCTTACAAAAAGTAAGAGTTAAGAAGATAGAGCCGGTTTTAATTTGATTTTCTGTGTTCTTTTGTAACTAGAAATTTCAAAAATATCTTCGTCTTTTAAGATTCTGAATAATACTAGATCGTTGAGCGTTTAAAAGTTCAACAAAGGATAAGTAAGAAGATACCAAGTAACAACCCAAACATTTGCGATGGAACAAGACAACAAACGATGTTGACCACATGTCAGTGAAGAATATATGTTTTGTTTGCCTCAAAACCCCTACCCTTAAACTGACGTAAAAGAATAATTGTGGTTAAGAAACTATAAACGGTTACAGGAAGCTAACAGAAAGCAGCTGTTAGCAAGAATGGGTAGCACAGGTGTCACTCGCCTGAGACAGTTAGGGCGTAAATAATGGAGATACCCGCGATGAGCAGGAAAGTGCGCACATCCCTTACCTAGCTCCCGGCACAGGCTGAGAGGCTGTAATGAAAGATTTTGTTTTTTTGCCTCCTGTACGATTATTATCAAACTGCGGAAATTTCTTTCATTTGGAGAGCCGTATTGCTGAGGCAGATAGACGCCTATTAAGGTGGCTGAACACAGTTTTGGCAGTTTGTAAGTTATATGTCATTTGCCAAGTCATGGCAGGAGGAAGGTTGCAGCTCACAAGCTGAAACTTGGCAAGTGAAAAATATGTTGATGAAAAATGTTGATTGACAGGTAAAATTTGACGTTTTCGTAGTTTCCATGGCAACATGAACGAATTTTAAGGTTGTATTCACAACCCTAAATTTTCACTTTTGCTCAGTTTACATAAAATTCGCTCATTAGATTTTCCTATAAACTTGCACACAGCTTACCATAATTAATCATCACCATTTGAAACTTATTTGATCAAATTTTAACAGACAGGTTTTTAGATAATCAATAATATAATTGTACTGTAAATATTAAATGTCTCACAAAATTCGTCTCTTTAACTTTCATTTTAAGGTTCTCATTATTTAAAATACAATAAAAGTAAAAATTCTGCCAAATATCACAAAATTTTAATGAGTAGATTTGGAGAAATCGTCTTCTGTGAACCATTGCTTTTTCGCCGCCATGTTTGTTTGTCTAATTTAAAACACGCGCTGTCACGCGAGTTACTGCTGACCGCCCGCGAAACTGTGTTCAGCCACCTTAAACTGTGTCAACGGGGCGGGGGTGGGGGGGAGGGGGGGTAGTCCCTAAAACGCCCTATACGGGGAGGCTCCGCCCGAAAAGGGAACCATTTTCAGGGTTCAGGCATATAGCTGTATCTAAACTCATGTAAATATTTCTTCTCGTAACACATGTAAATATTTTTGCCCCGTTGTAATTTTATCTTTGTATATGTGTTATTATTGTGTATTACGACAGAATAGCCCCGTAAAGAGGAGTCGTAATAAAGTGTATGTTATGTTATGTTATGTTATGTCAAAGGGTAAGGATTTCACTAGTTGAAGTATATAAAAGGGGCGCGCGGCAAAGGAACTAAATAGGCTAACAGACATATCTTATGGCTTGAAATGGCCTTGAAGACATCCTAGTTTAGCGGTTAATTCATGTTTAAAAGATAATGTATTTACAGCAGTTACTGGGATGCAGCGTTAACTAACTTGTGTCATTGTACATTTATACCTAAAAATAACAAAACAACTTGCTTCACTATCAAACTTGCATTGACTTGAAAAAGTTAGAAACGGCGTTTCGGCGGTGGTCCGGAAGCAAATTTCCTTTCTCTGCTGTGAGCTTTTGCCCGCTCAGCGGGGAAATGTAAAAAGTTTTTACATTTCTCAAATACGCCTTCTTCTCACTGGTTTTTCGTAAATAAAATTGAAGGGAAAATTAAACGCCTATTTCATTTGAGCTGGGTACTTCTACCGGCTAATAAAATCATTTTCTCAAGTGTTGTTAACTTATAAAATTCGACACTCGCTGAGCTTGTCGATAAAAGCAGAAAAGAACTGATTGTCAAAACCGTGATAAAAAGAGTTAAAATTATTTCCGGTTTTCTTGTGGTTTGTAGAAAATTAGGTTGTGTCTTTTTATAGGTTTTTTGTAGCTGTATACATGTAAGTTTTCGTATAGTTTTTATGTAGTTAGGCTTCCCGTTTGGTGCATAAAATTATTGGGCGCTGGAGTCATTCTTCGCTCTCATAAGTTTCATAATCATTTACTCTGTCTTTTGCCTGTACCGGTTTTGTACCATCTACTGTTTTCTCCGAGAGTTTCAAAACATAGGCAATCTGTATAGTTGAAGGCAGAGATATGAAATATCCGATGAAAAGTAAGACGCGCAAAACATCGGATGTAAGGGGTTGAAAGGCTCTCGATAACGTGACGTCACATTTTTCCACTATACTGGAACCGACGCGTCAGCCAGTTTCCCATCCAGTCTTTCAATTATCCATGCGTGAATTTTACAAGAGCCGTAGCTAGCGGGGGAACAAGGAGGGCAGCTGCCCCCCTGGACCTGTTGAGCCAGACACATCAAGTCTGTGGATGGAGTTGTTTTCTTTAGACTCAGTTATTTTGGTTATAGTGACTTGCAATTGTTTGCCATTTTCGGGTTCGAGGTCGATTTTTCGGAGACATATCAAATGACAAGTGCTAAAAATAGCGTTTCGGAGCCTCCAAACTTGAATCTTTTCTGGGGTTTCGTGCCTTCGGCGCTCGCGATAATGCGCCCCCGTTACAAAAACTCTAGTTTCGGCCCTGTTTACGCGTCAGCGGGAAACCCACCTTATAGAGGTTTGCTTGCATGGTTTATACATTGACCGTGAGGTCCGTCTGCAAACGAGAAAAGGAGAAAAGAAAGTGGGGGACTGTACATGTTACTCCCCTTTCTCTCCCCATTAAAACAGGAGAGTGATACCTGCAGAGGAAATCTCACAGTACCGGAAGAATTTTAATTTCCACCGCCTGAAAAAATTGAACGGACACTTTGTTCATACGGGACTTTGAACTGCTATACGTCTGATTTCTTTGTACGGTTAAGGTAGTTCCGTGTGAACAGAAAACCTTAACGCATAAACTTCAACCGGTCGAAAAATCGTCCGGCGCGGTGCCTTGTAAACATAATTCTACAATTATTTTGGGACTTTAATTATGAAGTTATACTTAACTCCAAAAAATATCGGGCTAATTAGTAGGCTATTACAGCTGCAACTGCCAGAACTGTTTAGAACATTAACTCAAGCGTCACGTTCACTCTTGCTCTTAAAAGGGTGAGAAATTAAAGAAAGGGAACCATTTACCGGGAGCACATACGAAACTTGATGTGAACCGTTTTCGCTGAAAGTTTATCCTTATTAATTATGATTCAAAACGTTTACGTTGAACAAAGAAATCCTTGACGTCAGTCTAGGGAATAAATCCGTTGCAAACTTGAGCAAAAAATTTTCAGCTTCCTTCAAGACAACCAACCAGCTCAGTATTTGTTGGAAAGGTAAGCGCTATGTTAGAAGTTGTTTTGAGAAAAAACAACGATAAGCCTTTAAAACAATTCCTCTCCTCGCATGATCGCGAAGTCATCTTGCTAATATTCACCGCCGCACAGTGAAACCTCGCTGATTTTTTTCTTTCTTTTAAAGATAAAAGCTTAACACATTGATACCTTGCAAAAAGGAAGAGTTAAGAAGAAACAGCCGGTTTTAATTTTCTATGTTCTTTTGTAACTAGAAATTTCAAAAACATCTTAATCTTTTTAGGTTTTGAATAACACTAGATCGTTGAATGTTTAAAAGTTCAACAAAGGATAAGTAAGAAGATACCAAGTAACAACCCAAACATTTGCAATGGGACAAAACAACAAAGGATGTTGACCACATGTTTTGAAGAATATATGATTTGTTTGCTCCAAAACCCCTACCATTAAAACTGGCATAAAAAAACAGAGTCGTTATAACAGGGTCAAGCTAGGATCTGTAGTGAGTGAGTGGCATAGGGTGACCAGGGGATGCCCACAGGGTTCTGCATTTGGACCTCTCATCTGGAACATCTTCCAAAATGATTTGACTTATACCGTTGATGCGAACATGAATATGTATGCGGATGACCACCAGTTTTATGCCGTTGGCAGCACCCTCTCTGATGTGCATGATGATTTTGCTGTTTGCGCTGAGTCAGCATCTTCATGATACGAGCTTATTTACTAAAGGGAAATTTGGACAAGTACCAGACAACGGCACTTGGTTGCGGAAGGGAGTCTACGAACAGTATTATGACTGACAATCATGAAGTCAGATCCACTAAATGTCTCAAGCTATTAGGTGTCTGTATTGATAACACTCTTCGTTTTGACCAACGTATAAGTAGTATCTCTAAGAAGAGCGCCGCAGCGGGTAGGCGTTCTCATGAGGCTTAGGAACCTTATACCCACACAAACTAAGTTACAGTTATATACGGCAGCTGCTCTTCCGTATTTAACCTACTGTCATCTTATATGGCATTTTTGCCGTGTTAGCGATTCTAGACGACTAGAGCGTATCCAGGAAAGAGCACTTAGGGCTATATATTGTGATAAACATTCGTCCTATGGTCAATTACTATCCATGGCTGGGCCATCTACTCTACACAACCGGCGACTACAGGACATAGCTATTCTCATGTATAAAGTTAAAAACAACATGTGCTCAACATACATTAGCACTCTCTTTAAACAGCCTGCAATTAAGTATAAACTGTGCAATCATGACTTCACTATACCCAGATTCAACGCAGTCTCCTTTGGAAAGCCCTCAATCAGGTATATGGGCCCAAAGGTATGGAGCTCTGTTCCTAGTAACGTGAAGAAAGCTTCCACGTTGTCCTCCTTCAAGTATAACATCAGAAAAGTGGATCTTAGCATACTATTAGATGACAATAACTGCTCTAACTGTTCTCTTTGCATTTCTTAATTTTTTATTTCTTATTTTTTATAAGATCATGGATACATTTGTACATATTGTATATAGTTCTCTCGAATTTCTTATTTGCTTACACTGTATATAGTTTTTCTTAATTTCTTATTTCTTATATCTTTTTTTTTTTTATTTTTTCATTAATCAATTAATTGATTTATTCTTTTTTAACTTATTTTAGTGTCTCCACTTAGTGGTTATACACCGCTATTACAATTTTGACACTTTAATAAAGGTATCATCATCATCATCATCATCATCATCATCATCAAAATAATTGTGGTTAAAAACCTATAAACCGTTACAGGAAGCGAACGGAAAGCAGCTGTTAGCAAGAATGGGTAGCACAGGTAGCACTCGCATGAGACAGTTAGGGCGTAAATAATGGCGATACCCGCTATGAACAGGAAAGTGCGCACAACCCTTACCTAGTTCTCGGCACAGGCTGAGAGGCTGTAATGAAAGATTTTGTTCGTTCTACGTACTGGAGTCATTAAAAAGGAAGTTCATATTGACAACAAGTTTATCTCAGCGACAAATTTTCTTGTTTACACTATGGGAGGTCGGAAAAACAGGCCTACCGTTCAGTTAATAACTTTTTTAATCGTTGCAATGGGCAGACGGGTTGTAGTAGCGAATTCTTTATCGGACTTCGTATACCAAAGAAGCTTAGAGGAAGTTTCTTCCATCATTGGCTTATTCATTCAAAGATATTTTCGAGATACGCTAACTTGGAAGTTGATTGACTTTTATTGGCACAATTAGTGTGCGATACGATACAGTCTGTTTGTGTGTATTTAATGATTTATTCAAGTTTAACGTAGGAAATTTTCTTGAAACGTGCCCGGGGGGAGGGTACTCCCTACAATAGCTTATACGCGGAGGCTCCGCCCAAAAGGAATGTCTTATTTGGGCTTCATGTATATAAAAGAGTGGGGATTTAGTAGCTAAAGTATATGAAAAAGTAGGGAAATCTAGCCTGAATGGCTAACAAATTTATTTTATGGCTGTGAAAAAGTAAAGAGAAAAAAAAAACAAACAAACAAACAAAAACAAAAACAAAAAACAACCGTTCTAGTTTTGTGATTTATTGATAGCTTAAAGGATATTGGATCAGAACAGTAGTTAAAAATGTATGAAAAGTTCCAAACTATGGATGTCAGTAGGGGTACTTTTTCTGTCATAATCAAATGGTGTACAAAAGGGAAATAGCCTTGGACTTACGTCCCTATAAACCGGTCTTGAGTACTCCCCTCCCCAAAGACAAGAAAACTTTCTACCAGGCGATCAATTACTTCCTAGTGACTCGCAGTTCAATGAGCGCCAACAATAACGGCTATAAAATTCACATATATTTTTTGCCCTCAGTTTCCGGTCAAGCAACTCAACGTACTCTCCCCTCAACCGCTGCTTTTGATTTTTTCTTTCCACAGGTGAAAGGAAGGGGTTCATTTCAGCGTTAACAAAAGTATCAAGAAATTAAAGTTAAGGTGAGCTCTCTATCGAAGAATTGTTGTTAATTTACAATCTCCATTCTTGACACTTAAGAAGTCGACGTCAACCCTCTTTAGTTCACCTTCTAACTTTCCTTTTTCAACTAACCAAACTTTATTCGATTTCTTTTTGAAGGGAGGAGAAAAGAGAATTAAAACAAAACAATGTTCTCCAGGAGGATCTCTTCAGCCGAGTGCAGCACTTGGTATGCTGTATCCCTTACTATAAATGTTGCTCTGGTCACAGTGAACCTCCTATCAATTATTCTTTTTATAAAGAACAGTAATCTTCGCACTCGTGCCATGTACTTGGTAATAAACTTGACCGTGGCTGATATGTTTGTTGGAGGAGCAGCCACTTTCGCTGTAGTATTTCATTTCCTCCTCTACGGTTGCGAAGTTGGAAATAAATTCAGATTCCGCTCTAAACAGTTTTTTACTCCGCAGGAATGGCAACCTTTTCTTGTGCTTCTCATGATCGACATCTGGCTTACTCTCACATCTGTAGCAGGCATTGCAGTAATTTCGTTAGATCGGATGCATGCGACGTTTCGTCCATTCAGGCATCGCAACATCAAAAAATGGGCCTACGGGGTAGCAATTGGTGGCGTCTGGATTTTAACTGCAATGTTAATTCCCTTTCCGTTAACACGTCTGCATGGAAAATTGCACTCGTTCTTATGGCTGTCATATCGTTGCCTTTGCCTTTTTGTTATTTTTATTTCTTACACCTCCATTGCTTTAAAATTTTGTTGTGGAACCCGTCCTCCTTCCCATGGTGCAGCCAATAGACAAAGAAAACTGACTGTGACATTATTCATAATGACCATTGTATCTTTGCTGCTGTGGTTACCATATGTTGTACATAATTTTGTTCCTTTTTCTGTTCTAGATACTAAGTTTTCTTCCCTGACATATTTACGCTTGAGATTATCTTTTACCCTTCTACGCCACACAAACTCGCTTGTTAATCCCATTATTTACACAATCAGGATGCCAGAGTTCAGAAAAGCTCTCTTGAAATTCTTTAAAAGTCGACAAAGACAAAATGTTGCTATTCCTCTTCATGCCCGTTAGCACCAAAAGGGAATTCCTGGGACGTCCGCTCATTTTTTCGATTGTTTATATTAAACACCAACAACATGGCCCCCTGCGCGACTGCCTCAAAGCAAACAATGCAGAAGATTTTTATTGCGACTGTTGAATTGCCTCTTGAAAACACTGAATAAAAGTTTGCGGACCTCTCCCGACACCAAATTCTGATTAATTTCAAGCGTTTAATTGGACTAAAAATAACTTCGGTGAAAGTCACATGTCCCAACAGGAGCCATAATGGGACTTGGTACCAATCAAGGGCGTGACTGGGCGCTCTTTGTCCTTTTATTCTCTCTTGATAACACTTTATTGTAAGTTCATAATGATAATTAACAAGTCAAAACAAGAGGGAGCTTGTAGGAGAATTGACCCTTCAAATAAGGGAGAAGAGAGTAAATAAGTTTTGTTAAATTTAATTATCAACTTTAGTTACTTAAGACATTTTCTCCTTTTTTTGTGGTTATTGTACGTGGCCACAAGTTTTGCCTCTTTGAGCTACATAATTGCTGCGGTATGTGCAAATGAAGTTCCAGCAATGATGGAGAGGTTGTACATATTAGGCTAACTATGGTCACACTATGCTGGATAGCTTTTTTGCCGCCACGAAAATCATACCGGATAGGGATTCGGTTGATACACATGAAAGGTGATTTCGACGCGATTTCAGTGACGGAGCAAAACTGCGCCGCGCCGATCTCTAAAGTCGAGAGTCACTTATCGCATAGGTGTTCATACTTTACCGGAGAGGTTTTCGTGTCGGCTTACTTTTGACTGCTTTCAGGTTTGCCATCTTTTAATGTATTATTTAGCAATACTATTAAAATAAAATAGTCCGGGGACGCTTTTGAAGCTGTTTAAATCACTTACAGCAAGTATTTTGAACATTAAAATTGTCTTCGGACCCTTCTTCGAACAGAAATGTTCGATAAGATAAAAAAATTCGCAAAAAGTTGCGTTACTTCCGATTCCCTGCTCCAAATTTGGCCCACAGGAAGTTAAGGTGGCTCTGTCATTAATACAGGCGCATCTAGCTGTGACAAATTTTCCGTCATAACTTTTTCGTTTTTAAGGCGATGGCTGAGAAACTTTGCAAAGAACAACAGAAGTCATTCGGTAATAATGTGAAGTATTCCGATTTCATTGATGTAAATATTTCTTGATAAATTAGCGCTTAAAAGGACCCTACTGTTCAAATAAAATCGCGTCTCTAGTAAAAAAATTTGCCGATATTTTTTACTGAAATTTCTGGTATCGGCTTTTATTGATAAAATAAATATGCCGGAGAAATTGCAGGCCCTTACCTTGTTTGCATAATCTGACAGCGTCACAAAATAAATTTATTGCAGCAAATTGTTAGTCGCTCTATATTTTCGACCGATATTCGAGCTGTTTTGCTTAGATATTGGAGAAAAAAATTATTGCTAATGTATTACACAAAGTAGAAAATTTTCTTGGCAAAATTAGACTCTTAAAAAATTTTTAAAATAATTACGCAGAAATATGTCTCGTTTATTTATTTATTTCTTTATTTTGCGGAATATTATGAGTTTCCTGACACCGAAATATTTGGTTTCTGAAAGTCTAACTTTTGCCCTTTCCAATGAGGTATAGCTTTATACGGAACTGTAAATAACAGCAGAGACAATTTTTTAAAGGTTTCATGGTCAATTTACTTTAAAAAAAACCCTGAAGGAGATAATGAGTTAAATCCATTATTCAGCTAAAATCTTCTCTTCACATTTTTAATCAGCATAAAGTATGCTTGATAAACGGGCAATTTCCAAGTTCCAAAAGCTCTCACTTTTCAAGCTAGGGAGGCTTAAATTAAACTTCTTTTTGTGATAATGAGTTTAGCGTGCATGAGAATAACAAATCATTTTCATCCAAATCATCTCGCTCTGAAACAGAGGCTTGGAGCAACTCGGAAATGGCCTATTAATCTTGCACATTTATATTCAGAATTAGTTGTTATCAAAAGCTCTTGTTGTTATACACAGTTTCTGTGTAAATTTCGTCTTTTTACTTTCTGAAGCACTACTGCGTATGTAGACTGGAAAGCAGTCGGGTTTGTTTTGTCATAATCGGTTTTGCAAAGACGCGAAGGAGCGGCGTGAGATTTTCGCGAAAAGCGCGCAAACCTCACACGCCCTTAGGCCCAGTCTCACTCCCCGTTTTCACTCTCTCGCTCCAGACTTTTCGTTTAACCGCTCGAGCGCGCGCGCTCTTGACCTCGGCAAAAATACGAGCTGTTTTGCCGTCTAATACGTATGTGGCCATTGATAAAATGATAACAGAGTATGTAAAATGAAGCCAAGATCATGTTGTTTTGTACACCTTAACATCTACTTTATAGGGCTTGTTAACTGTTGCTAGACTTTCTAACATGTCTGTGTCAGTAAAGTAAACCAATTTAGAGTATTCAATAAACTTAATATTTGAACATGATTTTACCATTGTTGTTATCTGTGATCATGGCTTTTTAACAGCTTAGGTCACTGGGAAAGGGGACGAGACTATGATGAAATGGCAATAAGACACTTACACTGTAGTATGGGAAATTTGTCGGCATCCCGAACTTAACTCTCAACCCGTTTCTGAACACGAATGCAATAATACTGGGCACAATCCGGTTTGGGAAGAGGATACGTTTACTGACCGAGACCCTCTTTGGTACTCTCGTGTCTCGTAGAGTTAAATAGGCTATGGTCAAATAACACTTCACCTTAACAACATTAGACATTAACAGGGACAGTGGAATTGAGATTCCTGAATCGTAGATGCCCTACGATTTGACAACACAACAATCGATCAGTATCACTGCGGATCGCTGAAAGAACAGTCTCCTCCTCAAATTATGCCAACAGTTCTTCGGAACGAAGCCCAAAAACCATAATTGCAATTAAAGTTCTCAGCTGACTAGTCAATTGACTGCACTGAGGCTTAGGTCCAGTTTTCGAGTTTTCTTCTTGCTTTGTAATATAGCGAATGCTGAATTGTTTCAAAAAGACATTTCTTAAAAGAATCTTCGAGAGCTTCGCTTTGGCCTTATCTACATATTGTTTGCTTACTCTGAATGAAGGGAAAAAGCGCCGGGATGGGATTAAGAGAACTGCTTTCAAAGAATATACTTTAATCTAAACCTTTTCTTTTAATCGATTTATCTAGGAATGATACTGATGATAGAAGCGGGACTCTATTATTACCGGGGAAAATGCAAATCCTCTAAGTTAAATACAGTCATTTTTCGTTTGCCTTAATTTTAACAGCCTCTTGACTTAGGACCCTCTCTTGCTTGATCAGTAGATTAAATTGCAAATTGAAGAGAATACACGCACCAGTATCCATATATTATTTCCGGAACTAGCTTCTCTTCAATCTTTGAGCTAGACTCGAGGAAAGTCAACTAGATCACCTTCAGCGTTCACCTTCAACAGTTTTAAACATGTTAAAAAGTCTCAGTTCAAATTGTGCATAACTTTAACCACAGGCTACCAAATATAAGACATAGAACAGTAGGTAGAAATGAGCAAGGAACCACAAAGGAACGCCAATTTCAAACAAACTGAACTACCGTAAATCCTCTATTAAGCCCCCCCTCTCTAATTAGCCCCTCCCCCCCTTTTCAGAGGAGGAAAGTTAATAAGCCCCCCTCTCTATAAAGCCCCTCCCCCCCTCCCCGATCCTTATTCTTCACACAAAAAAATAACGATTGACGTGGACTGATCAGTTATGGTTTATCCAGGCTGGAAGTTCATATTGTTTTTGGTTCGGCCGCGTGACATTCAACTTCATATGCTTAACTTTCTCAACTTTGCGCTCTAATTCTCTGTGGAGAATTGTCACCATTTTCTTATCGTTAGACAAAGCAGTATACCGCCCGGGAACCACGAGTCCGTCCTCAACAAACCATGCTCCTGTCGGTGAAATTCTAAGCTGCAACCTTCACGAGATAAAAATTTACACAGCAGAAATGATAATTCTATAAGCAAATGTCCAACTAGTTCTTGATCTTGAAAGCTGCTGGTACACAGGCGGTAAATTTTTGCTACAGGTGATGCATTTCGCTAAATTTAATAACCCCCCCTCTCTTTTAAGCCCCCCTCTCTATTAAGCTCCCCCCCACCCCCTCAAAAGTGCTTGGAAAAAATAAGCCCCCCAGGGGGTTTAATAGAGGATTTACGGTATAAGGCTTTGAGTGGAAAAAAATCGGTATTTTGGATATGTGGTCGCTTACCAGAGGTGATCGCATATGGAGTTTCATCTATAGGTCACGTGTTCTCCTACAGGGCTGACCAGTATTTTTTGCCTTAGTTTACACTAAGTTGGATAATCCAAACTTACAAGTGCACAATGATGCACACAAAGCTGAACAAGAAGCGACCACCATTTTTGTTACGGAACAAAAAGTAAACAGGATGTTTCAAATTAAATTTCCTCATCCCATGGATAATTAATGCTTAAGTGCTGTGACGTTTGAAACTCCTTAATTGAGGCAAAAGTAGTTATCTTGGATCTCGTTTACTGTGGGTAATGTCGACTGAGATATCGGTCGACATGGCGGTCGATATAGCGGTCGACAGTCGGTCGATAGTCGGTCGACAGTCGGTCGATGGTCGGTCGATGGCTGGTCGATAGTCGGTCGATGGTCGTTCGATAGTCGATCGATAGTCGGTCGATAGTGAGATAGACTATCGGCCGAGTATCGGTCGATATTTCGACGACGCACCTCAACTTACTATCGGTCATATGTCGGTGATATATCGGTCAACTGTCGGTGGTATATCGGTGAACTGTCGGTGGTATGTCGGTCAACTGTCGTTCGAATATAAGTCGTGTGTTAATTTATCAGGTGAGTCCAATGGCTTTTTTCTAAGCAAAGACGTCATTAATTACTGTTATCATGCGATAGGGGAACATGTGGCAGTGCGAGGCGCGATTACTCTATGAAGCCAACCGAAGAGCACTGGGAGCTAAGGACCCGTCTGAGTTTTAGCTGTTAAACAGAACCTGTCTCAGCCTAAGTTGAATCTGCTGCTCCTGTGGTCCCGCAGTCGAAGAATACTTACTAAGGACGAGTGAAATGACTGCTCCCGCAGTCCTGAAGTGGACGAATAATGAATAGGAAAAGGCAGTTCATGACATGCTTTAAGAGCGAGGAATACACATCTTTTATTATCGGGCTTTGACCTGCTTCATCACGCCAAGTTCTCGTTTGTGCAGAGACCACAAAATAAACTTATATATTTCTGCATTGAAGACGGGAACAGTCCTTTGTTAACGATCACTTATTGATAAAACGCGCTGATAATGCGCCGAGGAAGGTGACAAAAATATCCAGCAGACTGAACACATTCATTTATAATTGTGGGAATGATTTCAATATACAGCAAGGAAAATACTCATACGTTCTCATTACATTATCCTGTCCTTTTGCTATGTCCTTTCGCTTTATATTTATATTGTGTTCAAAATAAAGACGACCATGCGTATAAAGAAATTATTATTGAATGGTAAGTCACTTTTGGCCATCCATTAAAAGGAAAACAGTATGCGCCGCGTTAACATTAATATTATCTTAACTTGTTAAGGAAAAACAAGTTTAAAAAAATTAACTGTAAATACATTTTTTCATCAATGTAGTTTTGAGTCGGTTGAAAAATTCTCGGCATAGGAAAAATCAGCCAGATATAGGCCTTACACGGTGGGAATAAATCACATAACAAGAAGCTGAAGGCCTATCATTCTCACTTAGCGGACTTCTTCATGATTCAATTCTAGCCGGCTACGCGTACCGAGACACACCCACCCCTAAAAAAAAAACGAGTAGTGGAAACGTCTGCGAAAAGGTGGTGGGCATCGATACAGATAGGCGGCTAAATCCCGTTCACATGAATTAGAAGAAAAGGCTAGATAAATGACTAATAGCTATTATTCCGGAATTTTGGCTAAATACTTTGAAGTTTGAAATTAAAAAAGCAGAAACACAATTTAAAAAAACAGCTAGGTCTAAGCTAGAAAATGCTCTCTAATTTCTTGTTTTCCAAGCCAAAAAATGTAGGAAATGCTAAGTGTCGACTGACCATCGACCGAGTGTCGACCAATTACTGACCGATACATCGGTCAAGTATCGACCAACTATCGGCCAACTATCGGCGAAGTATCGGCGAAGTGTTGGCGAAATGTCGGCGAAAAGTCGGCGAAGTGTCGGTGAACGAAAAGCTATATCGGCCGAGACACATCTGGAACGACTATCGACCGTGTCTCGACCGAGTGTCTACCCACTATCGACCGACTATCGACCGACTATCGACCGCTATATCGACCGACTGTCGACCGAGTATCGACCGAGTGTCGACCGAGTATCGACCGACTGTCGACCGACTGTCGACCGACTATCGACCGCTATATCGACCGGCTGTCGACCGCTATATCGACCGCTATATCGACCGATATCTCGGTCGACATTACCCACAGTAAACAAGACTAATGCATCGAAAAGTTTGAATGACTTGATGGGTCTGTCGTACGGTAGGCTTGGTCCCATTAGCCCAGTTTAAAACCATTCATAAGACGCGAACTATGAAGTTTAAAAGCCAACTTATCTGAATTACGCATTTCGCTAGTGCCGTCAATCATAATTACCATCACAAGCAGCAAAACCTTGAAGCATAGAAACTCACAAAATGGATTGAAACCATCACAAACCATGGCCTTTTCGATTTTAATTCATGGAAGTAAACTTTTCTTGATCTCTCTTGCTAACTGAGCTGATTTACGACAGCAGAAGACGCAAACAGTAGTTGGCTTTTGATCTTGGCGTGTTATTGAAAGCCACAGTAACCTTGCCAATGTTCCGTTTCACTGAAACCACAAGTGCTTCCACAGTTGCTGTAACTTTGTTTTATTAATAACAATTAGAACTTAGTCAAGCTATAACGCGCTCTCTCATTGGTTGAAAAAGAGTGCTTTATGAGAGCTGTGCCAATAGTTTGTTTTGAAAATTAGAAAGCAATGCGTGGAGAATTTAAGGGATTCTTTATCATGAAACAAATATATAACGATGCCTTGCAATTTTGTATTGATCGATGTTCGAATGTAGCTTCGAACAAACCAATTGAATTGTTCTTTGCTTTTAAGATCGATCTAAAAATTGACTGAGCTCTTTTGGACTACGTCTCGTGTTTACCCCTACACTTCTTTCGTACTCTAGCCGCTTTCTGCGTGCTTCAGTTACAACAGAACAGAGCACAGTCAAGGGACGCCTAGTCTGCTACACAGCCCTTTTTTTGGTGTTGGTGGGGTGGAGAGTTGCGTGATGACACTAAAAACGGCTGGGTAGCAGACTAAGGGACGCCTTATTTGTTAATTAAAAACAAGACCTCTTGTTAAAAAGCAGTTTGCTGTTAATAATTTGTATTTGTTTTTGCTAGAACGAAACATAGCCAGTAGGAAGCTGCAATTATTTTAAATGATATTTGGGTTTTGTTACTATTTAAATGAAGTTTGCGAGTTGTATTAGACTATACTCATTATACACGTTCATATTATAACAATTGTAGTCTGGATGCATGAATTAGTCGCTGTGTCGCTTAAAAAGGGAACAAGCATTAGCGTTAAGCTTAGTACTGTATTCCGTTATAAAACGAGCAAAACTCCGGGTTAAAAACTCACAGTAAGCTAATATGCAATTACAGTTTGACAGTGAAGCTCCATTAGGGCTATACTCTTCAGTTCACAGTAAGCCAATATCAAGCACAGTTTGACAATGAACCTTCATTAAGCGGTTATACCCTTAGGGCAACGCTAACTAGCCGCTTGATGGAGGTTAGCAGCTGAATAGAGGATCGTCCGAAATTAGCAAAATCTTCAGCAGTAAATTCCCTTTATTCTGAAAGAAAAACCTTTAGAGGTTTCACATGTTACAACTCCCACACAAGAGACAGGCTATAGTACTGATTCAAATGACTAAAGTATGGAAACAAACAAACATTCTCCTCAAATTGTTGCGGTGAGTTTCGGAAACGGCGCAAAAAAACATAATCTCCGGGGCGGTACATACCTATATGGCTTATGTAATGTAGTTCCCCCCACCCCCCCGGGCCTGCGTCACAGACAAAATTAAACTCTGGTTGTGACCTTGTTTTAGACCTCCACCTGTGTACCAGGATTTGAGTACGCGCTATGATTGGCCTGTTAAAAAAACATTGTCCATTTGCCAATCAGTATGAAAGAAAAAATTCGAACCTGCTTCCGGTACATTGTTAAGTCCGTTGGGGGTCCAGAACAAAGATCTCGGCGCTGCTTCGCAAACATTACTAAACGAGGTTAAATTACTCTATTGATTAGCCTGTTCCAGGCGTTCAGATAGTGGGGAGCGGTGCGAAGTAAAAAGGAGCGCGAAAAAATAAAAGCGAGGGAGGAGGCACCTCTCTCCCCAGTCCCCCTCTACTTTTCATCGCTTTCTTAACTCCGCACCGCTCTCCACTATCTGAACGCTTGGAACAGGCTACTATTGATAGGCGTTTAACTTAGTTACACTAACCGTCAGGAGTCTGAGAACGAGAAAAGGAGAAAAGAAAGTGGGGGACTGCTATTCCTCTTTTTTTTCCCCATTCTCCCAACTGTTCTCCAAAACAGAAGAGTGATTCCTGCGGGGGCAGTCACACGGGCGAATTTTTCACCGGCTAAAAAATTTGATCGGACTTCATTTGACTTCATTCACAAAGGACCGTTCAATATTTTCACTCTGTTCATACAGGACTTTGAACTGCTAGGCGTCTAATTTTCTTTGTCGGTTAAGGTGGTTCCGTGTGAACAGACAACCTAGAGGGGTGAATTTCAACCGGTCGAAAAATCGTCCGAAGTGTCTTGTGAAGATAATTCTACAATTATTTTGGGTCTTTGATCGCTGGCTGATTAATATAGTGCGGCCGCTTAATTGGTGGCGGCAAGAGCCATAATGGGCTCTCGGTGGCGGCTAAATGGTGGCAAGAGCCATAACGATTATGACTCTTGGTGGTGGTTAAAATTTACCCAAAAAAAATATATTAAAAAGGCTAATTTTACCATGTTTCACCTGTCAGAACTGGTAAATAATGCGTCACGTTCATACTTGCTATTAGAAGGGTGGGAAATTAAGGAAAGGGAACCATTTACTGGGAGTGTGCGAAACTTTATTTGAACCGTTTTCAGTTAATTTTTATCCTTATGATTTAGAACGGCGATCGTTTCAGGACGGTGTGAAGCAATGTGTCTATCCCTACGTTGAACAAAGAAGCTCTCTTCCTTCAAGACAGCTAACCCGCAGCTCAGTATTTTTTGGAAAGGTAAGGGCTATGTAGATAAACCTATAGAACCATTTTTCGCATTGAACAGCTTAGTCCTCCTCGTATCGTGAAGTTGGTAGTAGTTACCGCCGCACAGTTAAATCTCGCTGAATTTTGTCATTCTTTTAAAGAGAAGCTTAGATTTGCCATACTTTTTAGAAAGAAAATTTTAAGAAGCTACAGTTTTGTATGTTCTTTTTGTAACCAAAATTTTTAAAACGTAGTCATCCTTTCAGGTTCTGAAATATAACCTAGAAAGTCGAGCCCTTAAAAGTTCAGTTATGATTCAGTTACACAAATAGCAAAGGATATTAAGTAAGGAATACCATGTAACAGCCCAAAGGATTTTGATCACATGTTTTGATAAATATATGTTTTGTTTGCTTCAAAGGTCCCCAGAACAATAAAAAGGTCATAATCCTTCAACGAGAAATATATAAAAAAATGATTGTGGTTAAAAGCCTATAAACGGTCACAGGAAGCGAACAGAAAGCAGCTGTTAGTATGTTAGTCGAGTGAAAAAGTTAGGGCGCTAGTAATACTGATCGATATCACGATATCCCCGCGCAGGCTGAGACACTGTAATAAACGATTTTGTTATTCGTTCCACTCGAGTTATTAAAAGGAAATTCAATTCAGGGACAATATTTCCCAAAGTTTTGTCAAAATTAAAAAGAAAATTCGTATCTTGTTGACACTTTTGGTAGGTCTGAAAAACAGGCAAATTGTTCGGTTAGTAATTTCAAATCCTGGTAATGGACAGAAGGGAGGGTTGTAGCAGCGACGTTCTTTATCGAAGTTCGTATACAAAAGAAGCTAAGATGAAGTTTATTCCTTGATTGGATTATTCATTCAAAAATATTTTTCGAGCGACGATAACTAGGAAGTTGGTTGACTTTCACTGGCACAATGAGTTTGCGATGCAACATTTTCCTAGTCTCTTTGTGAATATTTGATAGCTTATTCGAGTTTGATGGCGGACATCAATGTTCTTAAAACTTACCCGGGGGGTACACCCTACAATGGGCCATACGGGGAGGCTCCGCCCAAAAAGAAAACCTTATTTAGGCTTTATGTATATAAAAGACCCGGATAAAAGAGTGAGGAATTACTAGCTGAAGTATTTGAAAAAGTAAGAAATTCTATCATTTGCGTCTGTAAAAAGGCCCGAAGGCCTAATAGATGCATTTTATGGCTGTCAAAGTAGAGAAAACGTTTTAGTTTTGTGATTAATTCAAATTTAAATGACATTGGATTACAGCAGTTAAAATGTATGCAAAGTACGCCTACGCGTATAAACCTTTCTTGAATACTCCCCCCTTCCCAATGATAATAAACCTTCTACCAGGTGATCAGTTACTTATTAGTCGTAGTTCAATGAGCGTCAACAATAACAGCTAAACTTCACATATATTTTTTTGCCCTCAGTTTTCAGATCTATTCATCTTTATCTCCCCTCAACCGCAGTTTTTGATTTTTTTTTCTTTCCACAGGTGAAAGCAAGGGTTTTATTTCAGCGTTAACAGAAGTATCAAGAAATTAAGGTTAAGGTGAGCACTCTATCGAAGAATTGTTCTCAATGTACAATCTCCATTCTTGATATTTAATGAGGAGTCAACGTCAACCCTCTTAGTTCACCTCTTAACTTTCCTTTTTCAAATAACCAAACTTTATTCGTTTTTTTTTTTTTTTTCTGAAGGGAGGACAAAGAGAATTAAAAAGCAAGCATTGATCCCCAGGATGCTCTCTTCAGCCGAGTGCAGCATATGGTATTCTGTATTCCTTATTATAAATGTTGCTGTGGTCGCAGTGAACCTCCTGTCAATTGTTCTTTTTATAAAGAACAGTACTCTTCGCACTCGTTCCATGTACTTGGTTATAAACTTGACCGTGGCTGATATGTTTGTTGGAGGAACTGCCACCTTCGCTATAGCATTACTTTTCCTCCTCTACGGTTGCGAAGTTGGAAATTATTTTTCATCTTTATTGTTGAGCGTGATTGGCCACCTATTTTGTTTGTACTTACCGTGACCGAGGTGTGGCTTCCTTTCACCTCTGTAGCAGGCATTGCAGTAATTTCTTTAGATAGGATGCATGCGACCTTTCGTCCATTCAGGCATCGCAACATGAAAAACTGGGCCTACGGGCTAACAATTGCGGGCGTATGGATTTTAACTGCAATGATGTTAATTCCCTTTCCGTTAACACGTTTCTATTGGAACTTGAATCAACAGTGGCAGTTGTTATTTCCTTTGTACTTATGGCGGTCATATTGTTTCCTTTGCCTTATTGTTATCTGTGTTTTGTACACCTCCATTGCTTTAAAATTTTGGTGTGGAACCCGTCCTCCGTCCCATGGTGCAGCCAATAGACAAAGAAAACTGACTGTCACATTATTCATAATGACCATTGTATCTTTGCTGCTGTGGTTACCATATGTTGTATATACTTGTGTTCCTTTTTCTGTTCTAGATAGGTTTTCTTTCCTGACATATTTACGCTTGAGATTATTTTTTTCTCTTCTATACCACACAAACTCGCTTGTTAATCCCATTATTTACACAATCAAAATGCCAGAGTTCAGAGGAGCTCTCCTGATATTATTTAAACGTCGACAAAGACAAACTGCTGTTATTCCTCTTCATGCCCGTTAATTTACCTTGTCCAACACTTTATTGAAAGTTCAAAAAATGACCAGTAAACTATGTCAACTATTTAGCAATAATTGAATGAGGCTGCGTAGGATATGAAGAATTCTGCAGATCGAGGAGGGAGTTGTTCATTCAAAATAATTCCAAGTGTTAAAAGTTAAAACATGCTCAGGGGCACCCAACGACGGTTTCCTCTCAAGTGCTTTGAAAACACATTTTTAGACTATCCAGAGTACTTTTAGACCTTTACACATGCATTCTAAGCGGTGCTATATATAAAATTTGTATCTGTTCCGGCGGTCATCCTAGGGAAACTTTTAAAGTCTTTTCGTAATTGCAACGGCTTCAGTATCATTTTCCCGAAAATTTTAGATGGAATTTAGCGCATTATGAAAGTGAAAAGTTTTTTTATTCATCTCTCCATCACATTTTTTGAATCTAAAAATTTTAGGTTTCTTTTTTCCTACGAAAATTAAAATAGCCTGGCCTTGGGTGTGAAATGTGAAAATTTAAACTTCACAAAATCTTAGGGAATTTATTAGATAAGCTTCGAAAACTGTACATGAAGGGAACGGTCATCTAGAATTTTTTAGCCGTATTCAAGCAATAGAAAATTCTAGGCAATATTTGCTTCTCCGTGCAGATATTTTACAGAAAACAGTGATCGGGTGCCCCTGCATACGTACCTCGGTCGTTGTTAATGCACCCAAAAAGTATCATGATGGTAAGTGGGCAGGGGATGGGGAGGAGGCACGGCATGGGGTGGGGATTTGACATTTTTCAAAACTTTGCCGTCAAATTCCCTGCCCACGGGCAAATCATTCCAGGGAAATGTCCCAAGGTTTTCGCGGTTAACGGTTCAATAATCTCCAACTTTTCAAAAATTAAAAAAAATTCTTTCCAAAATTTCATTGTAAATTTAACTTACAAAGTCAAATTCATTCGTATAATACAAGAAACTCGTGTAAATTTCGTCTGCCTTTCTGTCGTACTCGAACCAAACAATTTTCCGTTTTTTATCAAGGACCTAAATTTTACAACACCTTAAACACCAACATCATCAACGCTTCCTCACCTTTCTCCTTTAAAAGAGCACTTAAGGCATTTATTTGTAATAATTATTAGTATACTTCAACAAAAATCTTGGGAAAAAGCCTTTTAATATTCAACATTTGTAAACTTCCGTAATATTGATTAGTTTAATTTTTCACGTGATATTATATTGTATCCGTCGCCGTAATTTTTATGCGATCTTCGAAAAATTGTAATTGAGGAGGCCTAATTAACATAAGCTCTATAGTTTCTTTTAGGCCTCCTCGCCATCTCTTCCTATTTTTTTTTTTTTTTTTTTTTTTGGCATCTTTTTGTAATTATTGTAATCTTGTGGCAAATAAATAAAATACCTAAAATACCTAAACTTTCGCTGCACTTTTGACGTCATCGGTTCAATTCACCATTTTCACATAAACCATAAAGCACCTTCCTCTCCCTCAAATTTTGCATAACCATTGTTTCAAATTTCTTCTGGGTATTATAATTTTTCCAAAAGAAACTGAGCACACTGGTTATGCATTTTTTTTTTTTGGGGGAGGTTAGCAAGGTGCATTATGGTTTATGTGACAATAGCGAACAGGGCAAAATTCCTCCAAATTTGATCAACAGTAGCTGGTTATGATGAACTATGCATGTGATTTTGGCCAATTAGAAAAGGAGAAATATTTTGAATGAATAATACTCTTTAGTTGCATAAAAGACCTCTTGAAAATAGCAGTTTAATGCATAGTGTTATTACTAACTTTAGATCGACAGAGCGATTTTCCTATGACCTTGAAAAATGGTTTCGGTACGTGTTCGTTATTTGTTTTATCAGCCAATGGATGAAAAGATCAAAACATGCGCTCTTCGTTTTCCCGCCAAAGAAGACCCTTATGTGGAGAAGGCATTGTTCGATTGGCCAGTCGTGTTTCAGTATGACGCCAAAGTGAAGTATCGATTGATTTCTGAAAAGTTCTCGGGATAAAAAAATGCACTTTATTTGAGTGTCAAGGTATTTAGCACGAAAGTACTAATTGAGGACACTATTTTTACGTCCCCAGCTGGAGACGGGACGCCACTTTACGTGGTCATCCGGCCAAGCCACGCGAAAATCTCGCCGCTTGCCGCAGTGCAAAGGGAATACCTTCTCAATTATTTTAAGGCCCTGAGTATTGGTTCCGCCCCGGGAATCGAACCCGCGACCTTCCGCCCTGCAGTCAAGCGCTCTACCGACTGAGCTAATCCTGCCGCGGGAAAGGTTTTTTTCAGCCGAGTGTTCGCTTAACCAACCAAAAGCCACGCTCGTTTGCATCCGTTGGATAAACCAATCCGCATTACGAGCCGCAAGGTCGATTTTCGTGCACGCACCAGGGATCCTTAATTTCCATGGAGATACCCACAAACTGGACTCAAGTAACTACAAGGCGTTAGTCTTGACACATTTCCTTGCGCACCTCAGGTGTTCACATTAATCGCTTTCTGTCAGTTCATCTTTCAATAAACTCATTTTAGAACAGGACACAAATTTGCGTCAAATATCAGAGCTTGTCTTCTGCGCGCCGAATTTATACCATCGGAGCGAGATATTTTAACTCAGCTATGGTTCTCGTCAAAATCACTTAATGAAAATACTTAAATTCATGGTTGGTGTTAAAAAAGGGTCTTGGTGCAAGTCTTGGAAAAAAAAGAAATATTTTTTTCGTTTCTTAAGCGAAAGGCAAAATCTAGCGCTTTATGAAGGTCGAATTCGAACCCTCCAAAGTAATAATTATCCGGTACGTTACCTGGTAAGTTACATATTGTCGCCGAAATGGTTTCAAAAGTTCAACGTGCAGAGTTCTGGATGTTATTTCGCATTATGTCCGAAGGACAGAAACTGTGTTCGCCGATATAAGGTAAGAGAGACCTTTATTATTTAAAAGGTAGAGAAGCAGCTTGTTATGGCTTTCGCATGCGGAGTTCGAGCACTTCGGTGAAGCAGGTTTGACGACACTGAGGAAAACAGAGGAAAATATTTACTTGCCTTTGGTATTGTGTATATCCTCGATCACTATACAATAACGCACAAATATTATAATTCAAAGGGCATTTACAACACGCGCCAAAAGAGCCGTGATCCCGCCAAAATGCTCGAACCATCTAACAGAGTGTAAAAAGGGGGCTGGTAGGCAACACACGACTTTTACCTCGTGCCAAAATGCTGCTTGTTCCAAAAATTGTTTTCTCTGGTGGGTATATTATATTCTGGGTTCTACTCTTTGAATGAGTAAATGTGAATTTTGCCGCTTGTTTCATACTGAGAGGTCATGACACGCATATTGATTTTCTGCGGTTATTGTTTCTGGTCGGCATGATTTGTCCTCCGATGCAAGAGCACTTTCTTCGACCTCTTTTGAAATGAAAATCTCTTTCTTTGCGGCTAAATAAGAGTTTTAGGTTGTTTAGTCTTCTCCAAAGTGCCTCCTGGATCTGAATAACTAAAGGCGATATTCTTTTGTCCGTGAATGTGATTGGTTTCCTTCAATTTATGTCACGCTGGGCCCAGCTCGTTTAGTATTTTCTGCACGATGTTAGATTTTCACCGAAAGTGATTTACAGATTCAAATTTCGAGGAATGGATTATAGGAACGCATTTTGTGAAGAGAGATTTTTTAAGTAAAAAGAACTCGGATCCTTAAATCGATCGTGTTTTAGCTAGCCAATTGCCATTTTCATATCCTGTGTTAGTTCGGATAATTCAGTAGGTTATTCTCTCCTCTCCCTCTTAGCTTACAGGCGGCGCGCCCAAGTTTAAGAGGTGAAGAGAGATTTTTTTCAAGGGTAAAAAACTCGTAGCTTGAATCGATCATGTTTTACTATCTAGCCAATTGCAGTTTTTATGAGCTATGTTAGTTTGGATAATTCAGTAAATTTTTCTCTCCTCTCCCTCTTAGCTTACAGGCGGCACGCCCAAGTTTAAGAGGTGAGGAGAGATTTTTAAAGGGGGAAAAACTCGTAGATTGAATCGTCATGTTTTAGCTAGCTAGGCAATTACAGTTTTCATGCGCTGTGTTAGTTTAGATAATTCAGCAAATTTTTCTCTCCTCTCCCTCTTAGCTTACAGGCGGCACGCCCAAGTTTAAGAGGTGACGAGAGATTTTTTTCAAGGGCAAAAAGCTCGTAGCCTGAATAGACCATGTTTTACTAGCTAGCCAATTGCAGTTTTCTTAAGCAGTGTTAGTTTGGTTACTCTCTCCTCTCCCTCTTGGCTTCCAGGCGGCACGCCCAAGTTTAAGAGAGATTTATTTAAATTGAAACACTCGTAGCTTTAGTCGATCATGTTTTATTAGCTAGCCTATTGCAGTTTTTATACGCTGTGTTAGTTTGGTAATTCAGTAGGTCATTCTCTCCTCTCCCTCTTAGCTTACAGGCGGCGCGCCCAAGTTTAAGAGGTGAAGAGAGATTTTTTTCAAAGGTAAAAAACTCGTAGCTTGAATCGATCATGTTTTACTAACTAACCAATTGCAGTTTTCATGCGCTATGTTAGTTTGGATAATTCAGTGGATTATTCTCTCCTCTCCCTCTTGGCTTACAGGCGGCGCGCCCAAGTTTAAGAGGTGAAGAGAGATTTTTTTTCAAGGGTAAAAAACTCGTAGCTTGAATCGATCATGTTTTACTCTCTAGCCAATTGCAGTTTTCATGAGCTATGTTAGTTTGGATAATTCAGTAAATTTTTCTCTCCTCTCCCTCTTAGCTTACAGGCGGCGAGCCCAAGTTTAAGAGGTGACGAGAGATTTTTTTCAAGGGCAAAAAGCTCGTAGCTTGAATAGACCATGTTTTACTAGCTAGCCAATTGCAGTTTTCTTACGCTGCGTTAGTTTGGTTACTCTCTCCTCTCCCTCTTAGCTTCCAGGCGGCACGCCCAAGTTTAATAGGTGAAGAGAGATTTTTTTCAAGAGTAAAAAACTCGTAGCTTCAATCGATCATGTTTTATTGTCTAGCCAATTGCAGTTTTCCTGCGCTATGTTAGTTTGGATAATTCAGTGGATTATTCTCTCCTCTCCCTCTTGGCTTACAGGCGGCGCGCCCAAGTTTAAGAGGTGAAGAGAGATTTTTTTCAAGAGCAAAAAAACTCGTAGCTTGAATCGATCATGTTTACTATCTAGCCAATTGCAGTTTTCATGAGCTATGTTAGTTTGGATAATTCAGTAAATTTTTCTCTCCTCTCCCTCTTGGCTTCCAGGCGGCACGCCCAAGTTTAAGAGGTGAAGAGAGAAATATTTAAATTGAAACACTCGTAGCTTGAGTCGATCATGTTTTACTAGCTAGCCTATTGCGGTTTTTATACGCTCTGTTAGTTCGGATAATTCAGTAGGTTATTCTCTCCTCTCCCTCTTAGCTTACAGGCGGCGCGCCCAAGTTTAAGAGGTGAAGAGAGATTTTTTTCAAGGGTAAAAAACTCGTAGCTTGAATCGATCATGTTTTACTACCTAGCCAATTGCAGTTTTCATGCGCTATGTTAGTTTGGATAACTCAGTGGATTATTCTCTCCTCTCCCTCTTGTTTTACAGGCGGCACGCCCAAGTTTAAGAGGTGAAGAGAGATCTTTTAAGGTAAAAAACTCGTAGATTGAATCGTCATGTTTTAGCTAGCTAGCCAATTGCAGTTTTCATGCGTTGTTAGTTTGGATAATTCAGTAATTTTTTCTCTCCTCTCCCTCTTAGCTTACAGGCGGCGCGCCCAAGTTTAAGAGGTGACGAGAGATTTTTTTCAACGGTGAAAAACTCGTATCCTGAATAGACCATGTTTTACTAGCTAGCCAATTGCAGTTTTCATACGCTGTGTTAGTTTGGTTACTCTTTCCTCTCCCCCTTGGCTTCCAGGCGGCGCGCCCAAGTTTAAGAGGTGAAGAGAGATTTTTTTAGATTGAAACATTCGTAGTTTGAGTCGATCATGTTTTACTACCTAGCCAATTGCACTTTTTATACGCTGTGTCAGTTTGGTAAATCAGTAGATTATTCTCTCCTCTCCCTTTTGGCTTACAGGCGGCGCGCCCAAGTTTAAGAGGTGAAGGGAGATTTTCTTAAAGTGAATAGTACATAGCTAAAATCGATCGTGTTTTAGCTAGTAAATGCAGCTTTTTTTACATTGCTTCAGTTGGTATAATTCGGTAGATTTTTCTCTCCTCTTCCTAATGGCTTACAGGCAGCGCGCCCATTCTTAAGAAGCTGTGATAAAGTATAAAGTAAGTCACAGCTTGAATCGATCGTGTTTTAGCTAGTCGTTACAGAGTTGTTGTTTTTGTTCATATTTTGTTTTTGTTAGTGTATATAATTCAGTAGATTTTTATTTTCTCTCCCTCTTAAGTCTTTAGCTCTTATGCGATGCGCCCAATCTTACGACGAGTGGTGTTGGTTTCAAAAGCGAAATTTAGTTATTGTGATTTTTTTTCTGATCTACGGCTCTCAGTCTGGATAATATTCAGCGTGATGCCTGTGTTTGATGTACACCGGAAACCGGAAAAAAGCTAGTTTTGTCCGCGGGCGGCAATACTTTAATTTCGACAGTTTAAGGTAAAATATTAAGATAATGTCTAAATCATTGTGAACTGTGATAGTTTTTTTTTTTTGCGTAAATATCTCTCTTCGATCAAATGTGACAATTAGGCCAGATTTATACTAGGGTTGTAAAAATTTCCACCGTCTATGTTGAAACCTAACAAACCTCGCGGGTATCCGCTTTGGCGGGTGATCTCCCTGAGAGATAATTGAGTTGTTGTTTTCATTGTTTATTCATCAAGTTCTCAGTTGTAATTATTTTTCGGTAATATTGTTCTTATTTATTGTTTATTGAGTGGGTCGGCTAAAATTAAAGACGAAGAGTGAAGCTCCAATGCAGAATTTTTGAAGTCTATTTGATATTATGCTTTCGACAGTGCACGTCAATAGCAACTAGGTTGGGTGTCCACTGGATTAAGTGTCGAAGATGAAAGATTGCTCAATAAAACGAACATTGTTGACAGCTTTAAGATAGGCTCAGGGTCTCTTGATGTAATATAACCCTTGGTTCAAAACAATAGACTTGGCGCCTCGCCCTTCAGAAATATGCGAAGATTGCGACGCTGAACGTCGCAATCCCCCGAAAATCGAGCCTGCGGCTTGGAACCGCCCTATTTCCGTTCGTGTATTGTTTCTGCTTTGTTCGCGCGTTTTTCTTTCAAGGTCATACGAAACAAAAAATTAGAAGACTGTAAATACATATAGAGAAGCTGTTACTCGTTTAATGGAGCAACGTCATGCTATTTGCTCTCTTCCCAAGTGAAAAAGCTAAACAGTCTCTTCACATCAATTGATGGTCCAGTTTTGTGTTAATTTTTGGATTATATGACATATTTAGGCGTTGAAAAAATTTCCTGTTGTTTTTTTGCAAGGGGTTGGCCAGGATGAGCCAACGTTTTCAAGTTTTAATGCCATCCATAAAAATTATTATGGTTAGTGTTCCCTAACGAAATCAGTTGTTTGATATCTTTTTATAACTCTACAGGAGCATTTTGTGTATGTATAAAGGCACTAAGAAATTAGGTCAGCAAAGATTTGACCAAAAACAGCAATATTTAAGACACTTAAGATATAAGTGCGTTTACCGTGCATTGTAGTGTGAGTAGTGAGTAGGTAGTGTTGTAAGTACTGAGTATTGTAAGTGTTTACATTGTAAACAGAGTAAGTACCTTAGTCTATTGTATTCTAAATATTGTATTGTAAGTAGTGTAAGTATCGTAGTGTTTGTAAGTATTTTTGATTGTTGATTGTTGATTGAATAAATGTTATTAAAAAAAAAGATTGCAAATAAAAAAAAAAAAAAAACAGCAATATGCCCATGACAAAGCCCCTTTAACTAATTTAAAAAAACCATTAAATATATAATTCATTAATATTCAGTAGGCAAAGTTTCCAATGACCTTGAGGAATTTTCCAATGGAATTGACACTTTCCTCGAGCAATTTTTTTCCTCCTTTACAATTATTGTTAAAAAGCTGAAATTTCTTTCATTTGGAGAGCCGTATTGCGAAGGCAGATAGACGCTTAAACTGTGTTACCCGGGGGAGGTACTCCCTACAGTGCCCTACACGGGGAAGCTCCGTCCGAAAGGGGTACCATTTTCAGGGTTTAGGCATATTTAACAATTATTCCTCGAGCCCGAATGGCTTCGGCCTCATGGGCTATTGACTCAGAGGCCATGAGGGGGAGAGGAATATTTGTTTTAGTAAAGTCCAACTAGTTGGTCAAAAATATCGAGACAAAACAACTTTAGGTAGCAAAACGCGATTCTACAGCCATTGTTTTGGTTTTCAAAGCCGGCGCTTTTCGCTACTAGTGGGCTATAACAGATAGCCTAGTAGCAGCTCAACCAATCAGAACGCAGCATTGATAATAGACCACTAGTTAGATTTTACTAATTAACAATTATTCCACGAGGGCGCGTTGGATATGAGATCATAGATGGCCAACTAGGCGTTGATGGGCAACTAGGCGTCCGACGCACGTTGTGAACATAATTTTATAATTAGTTTGGGACTTTCATTACTGGCTGCTTAATTGGTGGCCGCATAATCATGATGTTAAACTTAACTATAAAAATATAGGGCTTATTAATAGACTATTACAGCTGCAACTGTCAGAACTGTTTAGAACATTAACTCAAGCGTCACGTGGACTCTTGCTATTAAGAGGGTGCGAAATTGAAGAAAGGACACCATTTATTGGGAGTACATACGAAACTTGATTTGAACCGTTTTCACGGAAAGTTTATCCTTATGATTCAAAACGTTTACGTTGAACAAAGAAACCCTTGACGTCAGTCCAGGGAATGAATCCGTTGCGAGCTTGAGCAAAAAAAATTTCAGCTCTCTGCTTCCTTTAAGATATCCTTCAAGACAACCAAGCAGCTCCCTAGTCAGTATTTGTTGGAAAGGTAAGCGCTAAGTTGTTGTGAGAAAAAAACAACGATAAGCCTTTAAAACAATTCCTCTCCTCGCATGATTACGAAGTCATCTTGCTAATAGTCACCGCCGCACAGTTAAACCTTACTGAATTTTGTCCTTCTTTTAAAGAGAAGCTTTAATTCGCCATACCTTGCAAAAGAGAGGATTTTAAGAAGATACAATGTACAGCCGGTTTTAATCGCCATACCTTGCAGAAAGAGGTTTTAAGACGCTTAGCAGTTCAAAATTTTATTTTGTGTGTTCTTTTGTAACTAGAAATTTGAAAAATATATTCATCTTTTAAGATTCTGAATAATACTAGATCGTTGAGCGTTTAAAATTCAACAAAGGATAAGTAAGAAAATACCAAGTAACAACCCAAACATATGCAATGCAACGAAACATCAAAGGATGTTGACCACATGTTTTAAAAGATATATGTTTCGTTTGCTTCAAAGTCCCTATCCTTTAACGGGAAACTGACATAAAAAAAAATAATTGTGGTTACAAAGCTATAAACGGTTACAGGAAGCTAACAGAAGGCAGCTGTTTGCAAGAATGGGCAGCACTCGCCTGAGACAGTTAGGGCGTAAATAATGGCGATACCCGCTATGAACAGGAAAGTGCGCACAACCCTTACCTAGTTCCCGGCACAGGCTGAGAGGCTGTAATAAAAGATTTTGTTCGTTCTACTGGAGTCATTAAAAAAGAAGTTCATATTGACAACGAGTTTATCTCAGCGACAGTTTTTCTAAAAGGTTTGGCAAATTTTAAAAAAATGCTAAAAAATTGTATCGTGTTTACACTATGAGCTACTATGGCCTACCGTTCCATAACTTGGTTAATCCTTGCAATGGGCAGAAGGGTTGTAGCAGCGAACTTCTTTATCGGACTTCGTATACCAAAGACGCTTAGATAAGTTTCTTCCATCATTGGCTCTTTTAATATTCATTCACAGAATATATTCTCGAGGTACGATAACTTGGAAGTTGATCGACTTATATTAGCATAATTAGTGTGCGATACGATATAGGCTCTTTGTGAATATTTTAAAATGACTTATTCGAGTTTAATGGAGGAAATATTCTAGAAACGTACCCGGGGGGAATACTCCCCACAATAGCCTATACAGGGAGGCTCCGCCCAAAAGGAATGCGTTATTTGGGCTTCATGTATACAAAAGAGTGGGGATTTACTAGCTTAAGTATATGAAAAAGTTGGAAAATCTATCATTTCGGTCTGTAAAAAGGCCCGAAGTAGTTTTGTGATTTATTCATAGTTTGAAGGACGGTGGATCAGAACAGCAGTTAAAATGTATACAAAGTTCCAAACTAGGTATATGATACGGGTATCGTTTCTGTCATAATTGGTACACAAAAGGGAAAAGGCCTTGGACCTACGTCCTTTATAAACCTTTCTTGAGTACTCCCCCCTTCCCAGTGACAAAAGACGTTCTACCAGGTGATCAACTACTTCTTAGTGACTCGCAGTTCAATGAGCGCCAACAATAACAGCTAAAATTCACATATATTTTTTGCCCTCAGTTTCCAGTCAAGCAACTCAACGTACTCTTCCCACCAGGTGAAGGCAAGGGGTTTATTTAAACGTTAACAAAAGTATCAAGAAATTAAAGTTAAGGTGAGCACTCTATCGAAGAATTTTTGTCAGTATACAATCTCCATTCTTGATATTTAAGGAGCCGACGTCAACCCTCTTATATAGTTCACCTCCAAGGTTCACCTCCTAACTTTCCTTTTTCAACTAACCAAACTTTATTCGATTTCTTTCTGAAAGGAAGAGAAAAGAGAATTAAAAAGAAAACAATGAGCTCCAGGAGGATCTCTTCAGCCGACTGCAGCACAGGGTACGCTGTATCCCTTACAATAACTGTTGCTGTAGTTGCAGTGAACCTCCTATCAATTATCCTTTTTGTAAAGAACAGTAATCTTCGCACTCGTGCCATGTACTTGGTCATAAACTTGACCGTGGTTGATATGTTTGTTGGAGGAAGTTCCACTTTCGCTATAGTATTACTTGTCCTCCTCTACGGTTGCGAAGCTGAAAAAATATATTTGTTGTGGCCGAAATGGTCACCAGTTTTGTTTGTGCTTGCAATGATGGAGGTGTGGCTCCCTCTCACCTCTGTAGCAGGCAATGCAGTAATTTCTTTAGAGCGGATGAATGCGACGTTTCGTCCATTCAGGCATCGCAACATCAAAAAATGGGCCTACGGGGTAATAATTGCGGGCGTCTGGATTTTAACTGCGATGACATTAATTCCCTATCCGTTAACAAGTCTCTATGGGAACTTGCATCGACAGTGGCAATTGGTATTTCCTTTATACTTCGGGTTATCATATTGTTGCCTTTGCCTTTTTGTTATCTGTGTTTCTTACTCCTACATTGCTTTAAAATTTTCAATGGCGGTAACAAACGCGCTATGAAGGTCTGGACTACGGATATGCGACACGAAATCCACAACTTCTTGATTCACTCGGACGCGCGGTAGGCTATATCTAGCCTAAAAAAAGAAAACATCAGCATCGGAAATTAAGTGTGGTCATCACACGGTGGCAGTTTTTCCTTATCTATTCAGCTGACAAAACAAAATGTATTGACGAAAATGCTTACTAAAGAAAACATCTCAAGCCTGTATGGGAGATCATCCGGCCAAGCAATTTCATACTGTAGCTACTGCTTTCGAGCTTCTTTTGGCCATTTGTCCTCCCCCTTCAGGCGGACAAAATTGTTCTTTATTTATCCAAAATGTCTCCTTCAAATTTAATTAAAAGCAGCTTTTTAATTCGTCTTCTATTCTCCGATTTTTTCTATCAACACAAGTGTTAAGTAAAAGTTTGAAAATTCTTCTCGAATTTCTTTTCCTCTAGACTGTTTTGTCCAGCTATTAGATGCTATTTTCGAACCAGTAAACGCATGACCTTACAAATTCAGCGTAATCAACCATTTTAAACATTCCAATAAAAGTTTTAAATCTAACGAGTGCATTTTGAGGGTACTCACCCCCCGACACTCCCCTGAAAATTGCGTACGTGTGAATGACGTGTGAAATAAAACTTAGCCTCATATAAATGAAAAAAAAAAGTATTCAAATGGAGCTGAAACTTCATAAAAAGAACGACAATGACACCAGGAGACAATATTTACATTTTATTGATTACCGCTTTTATTCATTTTTCTGATCTGAGTTTTATTTCCCACACAAACTCTTTATTTCCTATACAGATTCTTTTATTAGTATTGGTCCACCTGCTATGGTCTATGATTGACTTGACTTTTGAGCTTGGCGTGTTATTGAAAGCCGTAATAACCTTGCCAATTGTCCGTTTCACTGACACGGTGCGTCAACGGTTCCTGCAATTTTCTTTTTAGTAGTAAACAATTATAATAAAGATCTGAGTTTTATTTCCCATACAAACTCTTTATTTCCTATACAGATTCTTATATTAGGCTGGGTCCACCTGCTTTAGTCCGCTAAAGTTGATTGGCTTGACTTTTGAGCTTGGCGTAAGCTCTCACGCTGTGTTTTGGAAATTAGAAATTAATCGTGGGGAATCAAACCGATTCTTTATCATAAACCAAATAAAGAAGCCTTGACTGTGCTCTTTTCTGCTGTACGTGGAGCACTCAAGAAGTAAGTAGAAAAATTTCTTTGTGGCATCGCTCATGTTTAGCATTTGTTAAAGCGTTTGATCACGTGGCTGGTTGCAACAGAACAGAGCACAGTCAAGACTTGTCAGTATTTGTTAAATATAGAGCAGTTAATAATTATTATTATTCATTCAAAATATTCCCCCAATTCTGATTGGCTAAAAGTACATGTTTAATTCACCATAACCAGTTACTGATGACCAAATTTGGAAGAATTTTGACTTTAACGAGGAAATGACGTCAAAAATGCAGCGTTTTCGCAGGTCAAGGCACCGTTAACCGAGAAGACCTGGGGACGAGGTTGAGTTGTTTTGGTTGTGAACTTGAAAAAATGGCGGACATTTCGCTCGTTTCAAGAATAAGAACTAGGCGAAAAAATAGCTAAAAACATGGCAAGAACAGCAAGAAGACAACTCGAAGGGCGACATCTGCTATTTGGAGAATATTTGCGGAGCTGGACAAACCTAAACGTACACTATCGAAGACGAACTGAACATCGATGGATCGATGGAGGTAAGCATGTTTTAGCTATGTTTTTAAGCTAGGAATTATTTTGAATGAATAATAAACAGTTATTGAATTCGGCTTTCGTATCATATGAAGAATTATGGAGATCTCGGAAGGTGTTATCCGTCGAGGCCGTAACACCCTCCTCGATCTCCATAATTCTTCATAAGATACACAGCCTCATTCATTAACTGTTAAATGTTTGCTTTTGCTAAAGCAAAAGAAAAAAGGAACCAGCAATTATTCCGAATAATATGTGCGTCTTTTTAATATTTTATGAAGTTTGCAAAGTTTTTTAAAAAGGTACTCAGTACACGAGTTCATACGATAGTACGTGTTAGAGTCCAAACGAATAAATTGTTGTGTCGCTCAAAAAGGGAGGGAGCATGAACTTTAACCGAAGCACTGTTTTCCTTTAACGCGTACAAATTCAAGGTTAAAACTCACAGTAAGCTAATATGCAAGAAGAGTTGAGCAACCAAGATTTATTTCCACTGCCACGTAATTGCAATGTGTTGCGAACTCGCGTAAAAGTTACGTGCGTAAATAAAAAAGAGGCGACGCTTTTTAATTTACGTACTTTAACTTTTACGTTTACGCGCGACCTTCAATACATCGCCTCTATAATTTTATTTACGCGCGTAAGATATTCGTGTGTACTTACGTCAATTTCACGCGTCAGCGAAACCCCACCTTATAGAGGTTTGCTCGGTTACACTGACCGTGAGGAGTCTGCAAACGAGAAAAGACGAAAAGAAAGTGGGGGACTGCTACTCTCCTTTCTCTCCCCATTAAAACAGGAGAGGGATGCCTGCAGACGAGGCCACACTCTACCGGACGAATTTTCGACCGCCAGAGAAATTTGACCAGACACTTCGTTCGTACGCGACTTTGAACTGCTAGACGTTTGATTTCTTTGTAAGGTTAAGGTAGTTCCGTGTGAACAGAAAACCTAAACGCGTAAATTTCAACCCTTTGAAAACTCGTCCGACGTGCCTTGTGAACATTAATTCTGCAACTATTTTGGGACTTTCATTACTGGTAGCTTAATTGGTGGCCGCTTAACCACGAGGTTAAACTTTACTCAAAAAAAATATAGGGCTAATTAATAGACTATTACAGCTGCAACTGTCAGAACTGTTTAGAACATTAACTCAAGCGTCATGTTCACTCTTGCTGTTAAAAGAGTGAGAAATTCAGTAAAGGGAACCATTTACCGGGAGTACATACGAAACTTGATTTGAACCGTACGTTTTCACTGAAAGTTTATCCTTATGGTTCAAAACGTTTGCGTTGAACAAAGAAACTCTTGACGTCAGTCCAGGGAATAAATCCGTTGCAAACTTGAGCAAAAAATTTTCAGCTCTCTGCTTCCTTCAAGATATCCTTCAAGACAACCAAGCAGCTCAGTATTTGTTGGAAAGGTAAGCGCTAAGTTGTTGTGAGAAAATACGACGATAAGCCTTTAAAACAATTCCTCTCTTCATATGATCTCGAAGTCATCTTGCTAATAGTCACCGCCGCACAGTTAAACCTCGCTGAATTTTGTCTTTCTTTTAAAGAGAAGCTTAAATTCGCCATACCTTGCAAAAGAGAAGATTTTAAGAAGATACAATGTACAGCCGGTTTTAATCGCCATACCTAGCGGAAAGAGGTTTTAAGACACTTAGCAGTTTTTAATTTGTGTGTTCTTTTGTAACTAGAAATTTGAAAAACATCTTCATCTTTTTAGGTTTTGAATAATACTAGATCGTTGAGCGTTTAAAATTCAACAAAGGATAAGTAAGAAAATACCAAGTAACAACCCAAACATATGCAATGGAACAAAACATCAAAGGATGTTGACCACATGTTTTGAAAAATATATATTTCGTTTGCTTTAAAGTCCCTATCCTTTAACGGGAAACTGACACAAAAAAAATAATTGTGGTTACAAACTTATAAACGGTTACAGGAAGCTAACAGAAAGCAGCTGTTAGCAAGAATGGGTAGCACAGGTAGCACTCGCCTGAGGCAGTTAGGGCGTAAATAATGGCGATACCCGCCATGAACATGAAAGCGCGCATATCCCTTACCTAGTTCCCGGCACAGGCTGAGAGGCTGTAATAAAAAATGTTGTTCGTTCTACGCACTGGAGTCATCAAAAAGGAAGTTCACATTGACAAGTTTATCTCAGCGACAATTTTTCTGAAAGGTTTGGCAAAATTAAATAAGAAATTGTATCTTGTTTACACTATGGGAGGTCTGAAAAACAGGCCTACCGTTCGGTTAATAACTTGGTTAATCGTTGCTCGTTGTAGTGGGCAGAAGGGTTGTAGTATACGTAGCGAACTTCTTTATCGGACTTCGTATACCAAAGAAGCTTAGATGAAGTTTCTTCAATCATTGGCTCTTTTAATATTCATTTAAAGATATTTTCGAGGTAAGATAACTTGGAAGTTTATTGACTTTTATTGGCACAATTAGTGTGCGATACGATACAGTCTCTTTGTGAATATTTTTTAATGACTGTAGGGGGGGGATACTCCCTACAATAGCCTATACGGGGAGGCTCCACCCAAAAGGAATATCTTATTTAGGCTTCAGCTATATAAAAGAGTGGGGATTTACTAGCTGAAGTATATGAAAGGGTAAGGAAATCTATCATTTCGGTCTGTAAAAAAGGCCCGAAGGGTTAGCAAATGTATTTTATGGCTGTGACAAAGTAAAAAAAAAAAACGTTCTTGTTTCGTGATTTATTCATAGTTTAAAGGACATTGGATCAGAACAGCAGTTAAAATGTATGCAAAGTTCCAAACTAGGTATGTGATAGGGGTACTTTATCTGTCATAATTAAATGGTATGCAAAAAGGGTAAGGGGCTGGACCTCGAGGCGGAGCCTTCCCGTATAAACCTTTCTTGAGTATCCTCCCCCCCCCCCGCTTCCCAATGAAATAAACTTTCTACCAGGTCATCCATAGCTTCTTAGTGACTTGCAGTTCAGTGAGGGCCAACAGTAACAACTAAAATTCACATATCATATTTTGTCCTCAGTTTTCAGTCAACCTATTCATCGTACTCTCCACATAACCGCTGTTTTTGATTTTTT